AATACATTCTCCCTAATATGACTCCAACCATTGCCACTTTTTATTGTCTTCCCAAAATTCATAAAAATCTAGACAAACCACCGGGAAGACCAATTGTGTCAGGCAACTGCTCGATTACAGAAGGAGGTAGTAAATTTCTTGAAAAACTATTACACCCATTAGTGGTTAATTTGAAGTCATACCTTCAGGATACTAAACAGACTTTGATATTATTGGAAAATTTAGAGGTACCTCCATACTGCCTATTGGGCAGTCTGGATGTTGTAGCCCTTTACAATAACATTCCCCATACTATAGGTATACAAGCCACCTCCTATTTTTTGAACAAATCATCAGATTTTACACCTGCACAGAGTAATTTTATTATTAAATTACTAGAATACATTTTAACTCATAATTTTTTTGTATTTAATGGCCAATACTACCTACAGTTGAAGGGTACAGCTATGGGCACGGCTTGTGCCCCTAGCTATGCCAACCTATATTTAGGTTGGTGGGAAGAGACCATTGTATCTGTCATCACCAAGAACCAGTATGACACATATATCTATAGTTGGCATAGATATATTGATGACATACTGGTCTTTTGGTTGGGGTCAATCAAACAATTCCAAGATCTAGTGAATTTACTGAACACCAACAACATCGGCCTTCAACTCACTTATGTGATAGATTCTGAACATCTGGTCTTTCTGGATCTAGATATTCAGTTACAGGAGGATGGTAAAATTGAAACCATACTTTTTAGAAAAGATACAGCAACCAATAGCTTATTAAACTGGACTAGTTTCCATCCAATTAAATTAAAATCTGGGATACCATATGGCCAATATTTACGCGCAAGACGAAACTGTTCTAACGAATTAACCTTTCAATTAGAAGCAAAGAAGTTGAGACTAATGTTCAAACAGAAGGGGTATCCCAATAGGGTTCTTAAACGAGCCTATCAACGAGCCCTGTCTATCAATCGGAGTGACAGCTTGAGAAATACTAGATCCAGGACCGAAACAAAAACAACTCGGTGTATTGGCACATATGACCCCCATTGGGATAAGATACGAGAAATTATTTCTCGCAACTGGCCCATTCTGCAACATGACATTGATTTAAGTGATAGCATTGAGAAATTTCCCCAGTTGACTGCTCGTAGAGCAAGAAATTTGAAAGATATTCTTGTTCACAGTCATACCGAACCCGTAAAGTCACTACAATCTACTTGGCTAAAACAAACCATTGGAGTATTTCGTTGTGGGCACTGCAAAGCTTGTCAGTTTATTAAACCAACTAAAACTGTCAAAAGCTCTAAGACCAATAATGAATATACGGTCAAAGAATTTATCAATTGCAGTTCAACACGGGTAATATATTTAATTACCTGTTGCTGTGGTATACAATATGTAGGTAAGACCTACCAGCAATTCAAACGGAGGATACTTCAGCATGTATGCTCAATTACCAATTTGAACATTTCAACTCCAATAGCCAATCATGTTCGTAATTATCATGAGGCAGATCCCACGAAACTAACCTTTCAGGCTTTGGAAAAAATTACTCTGAATACGAGGAAGGGCAATTTTAATAAAATATTACTTATGAAGGAGTCTAGATGGATATATATCCTAAAGACATTATCACCAGATGGTCTCAATGAGGAATTCAATTTTACTCCCTTCATACATTAAGAATTTAATATTAATTGGAACATCTTGTCTATTTATCAAGATAATTTCCATAGCCATTATGAGTGACCTATGCCTTATGGGACTTTTTGGAATGGGTTCCTGGTGACAGTTATGTAAACTAATTATCCACTATGTTCTACCTAGATATACAATTTCCAATCATCATCTATTCCATGTCTATTATATAGGTGATTCATTTATTTAGTCAAGTCTCTATTTGAAGATTCATTGTAGAAACTTCTGAACATGTTCTCCCTTTCCTTCTTAGGTATATATACAATTAATAGGAGCCACCATATTTTATATTTAATTTAACTTCTCCTATTATGTACTATACCTTATGGCATCAGACAGAATAATTGTACTTACATCATTTGACCATCACTTGGTATGATGTTTATTATTATTATTTTTGTTTTTTATCATAATTTGTTAGTATATTATATTTGATAATTATCAGATTTAACTTTTGGGCGTTCTATTCTCATTCCGATCCTCCTTGATCCTTCAGGATTACTTTGAATATTTCCCAAGGTCATATGGCATTTACAAACGTGTTCTCAACATGAATATGTATTTTTTATGTAGGGATCTAACAGGCATTTTATCTTGCCTAGGTTTGTACACTTTAACCTGACCCTTAATGGGTTAATTATTGGAGTAGCTAAGACTATTTTACCTCCGATAATGTCCTCCGTTACGTCATCTTCTCCAACCAATTAGGAATTGCCCGTCCGGACCAATCAGGTGATTTCTCTGGTTTTTTAAACCCGGTGCTAACACACCTCTCGTTTCCTCTCTGACGAGCTAGGTGTAGCGAAACGCGCGCGTCAGAGGATTGTGGTGTGCTGCACATGTTGGATCTTTAGTGCAGAACACAGACTGGCGACCGCGCTGCTTATCTCGTATATATTCATTTATCATATTTTATTTTTGCAGTTCTTACTTTCATGATTTATTTATCTATTGGATCTCTGGGGGGTTGGAGCTAGGTGCCCTCGAAGGCACGGGTCACATATTTATAGAGGGTATCATTCAGACGCTTTTCTCTCTCACATCGTTAACAGCTTTTTATACACATTGTGTGCTATCAAACAGATTTTGTAACTCTTTCTATTGTAACCCTATTTATATGTGTATCTCTCCCCTATCCTGTTCCTCCCAGGCATCTCTATGACTGCTTTACTGTCGGCTCAGTGTATACATGCTGTGGTTTATCTATATACACACTCTGTCTATTTAGCTCACTAGCATAATTTCTCCGTGTAGATTATCGTTTTTCTACTCTAAGACCTGCTAGTTTATCAGTTTTATACTGATCTAATCTTTTTCCAAGTTTGCTGTGATCTATGGTGATTTGATATTCACCAATAACTTTTAGCTATTTAGAAGACATATACAGTCCATGATCACGGTTTTGATTTTTAAAGTGACAGACTTTATAATCGATTTACTTATCATTAGACAGATGTCCTGGCTCAGCAAATATATTTTTTATCACCATGGGCAACTAACTACCCTCCATACTGATTTATACTTTGGACAAGACATATATATGGTCCATCATTCTATTATGGAGGTTTAAAGTGCTAGTTCCAATATACTTACCGTTTCTTCGGATTGGCATTTTGCCTCTCTAGTCTGGCATATTACCAGCCATAACTGACAGTAATTGTTGTCATTCTTTGATCTGCGATTATATATAATTTTATTTTATTTGTTCTAGACGATCTACATTTTTCTTGATAGATCTGTCTAGCAATTATTTTAGATTTTTGGTGTTTATATGGTAGCACGTATTTGGGTTATTTAATTGTTTCTATTAATAAACTTTCATTATTTTTGTTTTTAGTGGCTTTATCTGGCCTTTATATTAGGCTAATTGTTGGCTATCTTGAATTTTGTTGATGCTTATATTTTGCATCATGAATTAGATACACTTTACTTTGTTCTCTTTATTCTTTATTTGGGGTTACCCCCCACTTTCTTTGTGTATCTAACTTGGCTCAATCTATTCGCTGTTTTCCACACTTTTTACCAGGTTTCAATACCTAATAGAGCCAAAACATTTAACATTATGTCACTGTTTCTAACAACAGTAGTAAACCCTGATCCAGGAACTACCGATATTAATAATGTTTTCTCACTAAATCCCCTTAACTCTACATCAAATAATGACATTAGTGATACATTTTTTCAAATTCAGAAACTGTATCAGCTACAGATCAAGGGATATTGGGAGTTAGTGAGTTTGAAACAATACATTGATCAGAAACTTGTGCCACGGGGACTTAGACCAGAAATCCCTTTACCAGATAAGATAACCACTGAGGAACAAAAACAAGAATGGAATGGCATTCTCTTAGAATGTTCTGAGAAATTAATGAAGTTCCTAATTAAACTTGAATCTCAAAGTTTAGAAAATACTAATTTGAATTTGGAGAAAGAACTAGTGACGATAAAAACTTTTAAGGACAAAGCCGAATTTCCACTGATGGAAAATAAACTTCAGAAAAATTTAGACTCTTTTAAAAAACATGTTAAGGAGAAAAAACACATCAAGTTTGTCAGAGACTATAAAGACTTTAAGGAGGGCAATATCTTTCGAACTAGAAGAAAGTTCAGATCCCGTACCTCAAGCATTAATGGTTCAACATCAGGTAATACCGACTGGACTGATTCTGACTCAGGTTCATCCAGGTCATCTAGAAAACAACGTAATAGAGAATATCCAAACAAGAATAGAGGTAGAGGCATCTTAAAGCAACCTAATAGAAATGTCAATTTCTCTGAGAATCCAGTGACTGATAATCAGGGGTCAAATAACCCAATAGAGAACACCACAAGACCCCCTTTTTCATCTCCTTTTTTAGAGGAGGATTGGCCAGTTCCAATAGGGGGCAGATTACGAGACCGAAACAAATGGGGCTACAAACCGGACAAACGGACAAACTAGACCTAATAAGTAATGATCAGAATCAAATAGTGAATCTGTCAACATTCACACTAGAAATACATCATCTATCTTTGCTAAAAAAAGGTCTGTCCTTTGTACCTACACCGAAATTTAATAAGTTTGATTGGATTAAAGATACCAATTTATTCGGCCGTAAACTAGCCTTGAATGTGGCACACAAGAGAAAAACTCAAAAGCAAGCCAAAGAGGCTGGTTTCTCCTATATAGATTACCAACAATATCAGACATTACTTTCTCTATTGGATGAACAAGATGTAGTTCAGCCTCTTACTAACTTTAAACCAGAAAGTTGGTTCACACCCAATTTGAAGGAAATCTCCAGTGTAGACCTTTTCATTAAAATGACTACTAAGGAAATTGAGTCTTTAGATCCCCCTACCTCGTATAAAGATAATCTAACTCTGATAGAAAGAAGGGCTCTAACAGAACTAAGTCGAGAATCTAACTTGGTTATTAAGTCATCAGATAAAGGTGGCAACATCGTACTGATGGACAAAAATAATTATATTGAGATGTGCATGGAACATCTTGAAAACACTGATATATATCGTTGCTTGTCAACTGATCCAACCATCGAATATCTAACTGAACTGAGATCCATTTTAGAAACTGCAGAAACTGAAGGTGTTATCAGTAGTGACGAACGTAAATACATTCTCCCTAATATGACTCCAACCATTGCCACTTTTTATTGTCTTCCCAAAATTCATAAAAATCTAGACAAACCACCGGGAAGACCAATTGTGTCAGGCAACTGCTCGATTACAGAAGGAGGTAGTAAATTTCTTGAAAAACTATTACACCCATTAGTGGTTAATTTGAAGTCATACCTTCAGGATACTAAACAGACTTTGATATTATTGGAAAATTTAGAGGTACCTCCATACTGCCTATTGGGCAGTCTGGATGTTGTAGCCCTTTACAATAACATTCCCCATACTATAGGTATACAAGCCACCTCCTATTTTTTGAACAAATCATCAGATTTTACACCTGCACAGAGTAATTTTATTATTAAATTACTAGAATACATTTTAACTCATAATTTTTTTGTATTTAATGGCCAATACTACCTACAGTTGAAGGGTACAGCTATGGGCACGGCTTGTGCCCCTAGCTATGCCAACCTATATCTAGGTTGGTGGGAAGAGACCATTTTATCTGTCATTACCAAGGACCAGTATGACACATATATCTATAGCTGGCATAGATATATTGATGACATACTGGTCTTTTGGTTGGGGTCAATCAAACAATTCCAAGATCTAGTGAATTTACTGAACACCAACAACATCGGCCTTCAACTCACTTACGTGATAGATTCTGAACATCTGGTCTTTCTGGATCTAGATATTCAGTTACAGGAGGATGGTAAAATTGAAACCATACTTTTTAGAAAAGATACAGCAACCAATAGCTTATTAAACTGGACTAGTTTCCATCCAATTAAATTAAAATCTGGGATACCATATGGCCAATATTTACGCGCAAGACGAAACTGTTCTAACGAATTAACCTTTCAATTAGAAGCAAAGAAGTTGAGACTAATGTTCAAACAGAAGGGGTATCCCAATAGGGTTCTTAAACGAGCCTATCAACGAGCCCTGTCTATCAATCGGAGTGACAGCTTGAGAAATACTAGATCCAGGACCGAAACAAAAACAACTCGGTGTATTGGCACATATGACCCCCATTGGGATAAGATACGAGAAATTATTTCTCGCAACTGGCCCATTCTGCAACATGACATTGATTTAAGTGATAGCATTGAGAAATTTCCCCAGTTGACTGCTCGTAGAGCAAGAAATTTTAAAGATATTCTTGTTCACAGTCATACCGAACCCGTAAAGTCACTACAATCTACTTGGCTAAAACAAACCATTGGAGTATTTCGTTGTGGGCACTGCAAAGCTTGTCAGTTTATTAAACCAACTAAAACTGTCAAAAGCTCTAAGACCAATAATGAATATACGGTCAAAGAATTTATCAATTGCAGTTCAACACGGGTAATATATTTAATTACCTGTTGCTGTGGTATACAATATGTAGGTAAGACCTACCAGCAATTCAAACGGAGGATACTTCAGCATGTATGCTCAATTACCAATTTGAACATTTCAACTCCAATAGCCAATCATGTTCGTAATTATCATGAGGCAGATCCCACGAAACTAACCTTTCAGGCTTTGGAAAAAATTACTCTGAATACGAGGAAGGGCAATTTTAATAAAATATTACTTATGAAGGAGTCTAGATGGATATATATCCTAAAGACATTATCACCAGATGGTCTCAATGAGGAATTCAATTTTACTCCCTTCATACATTAAGAATTTAATATTAATTGGAACATCTTGTCTATTTATCAAGATAATTTCCATAGCCATTATGAGTGACCTATGCCTTATGGGACTTTTTGGAATGGGTTCCTGGTGACAGTTATGTAAACTAATTATCCACTATGTTCTACCTAGATATACAATTTCCAATCATCATCTATTCCATGTCTATTATATAGGTGATTCATTTATTTAGTCAAGTCTCTATTTGAAGATTCATTGTAGAAACTTCTGAACATGTTCTCCCTTTCCTTCTTAGGTATATATACAATTAATAGGAGCCACCATATTTTATATTTAATTTAACTTCTCCTATTATGTACTATACCTTATGGCATCAGACAGAATAATTGTACTTACATCATTTGACCATCACTTGGTATGATGTTTATTATTATTATTTTTGTTTTTTATCATAATTTGTTAGTATATTATATTTGATAATTATCAGATTTAACTTTTGGGCGTTCTATTCTCATTCCGATCCTCCTTGATCCTTCAGGATTACTTTGAATATTTCCCAAGGTCATATGGCATTTACAAACGTGTTCTCAACATGAATATGTATTTTTTATGTAGGGATCTAACAGGCATTTTATCTTGCCTAGGTTTGTACACTTTAACCTGACCCTTAATGGGTTAATTATTGGAGTAGCTAAGACTATTTTACCTCCGATAATGTCCTCCGTTACGTCATCTTCTCCAACCAATTAGGAATTGCCCGTCCGGACCAATCAGGTGATTTCTCTGGTTTTTTAAACCCGGTGCTAACACACCTCTCGTTTCCTCTCTGACGAGCTAGGTGTAGCGAAACGCGCGCGTCAGAGGATTGTGGTGTGCTGCACATGTTGGATCTTTAGTGCAGAACACAGACTGGCGACCGCGCTGCTTATCTCGTATATATTCATTTATCATATTTTATTTTTGCAGTTCTTACTTTCATGATTTATTTATCTATTGGATCTCTGGGGGGTTGGAGCTAGGTGCCCTCGAAGGCACGGGTCACATATTTATAGAGGGTATCATTCAGACGCTTTTCTCTCTCACATCGTTAACAGCTTTTTATACACATTGTGTGCTATCAAACAGATTTTGTAACTCTTTCTATTGTAACCCTATTTATATGTGTATCTCTCCCCTATCCTGTTCCTCCCAGGCATCTCTATGACTGCTTTACTGTCGGCTCAGTGTATACATGCTGTGGTTTATCTATATACACACTCTGTCTATTTAGCTCACTAGCATAATTTCTCCGTGTAGATTATCGTTTTTCTACTCTAAGACCTGCTAGTTTATCAGTTTTATACTGATCTAATCTTTTTCCAAGTTTGCTGTGATCTATGGTGATTTGATATTCACCAATAACTTTTAGCTATTTAGAAGACATATACAGTCCATGATCACGGTTTTGATTTTTAAAGTGACAGACTTTATAATCGATTTACTTATCATTAGACAGATGTCCTGGCTCAGCAAATATATTTTTTATCACCATGGGCAACTAACTACCCTCCATACTGATTTATACTTTGGACAAGACATATATATGGTCCATCATTCTATTATGGAGGTTTAAAGTGCTAGTTCCAATATACTTACCGTTTCTTCGGATTGGCATTTTGCCTCTCTAGTCTGGCATATTACCAGCCATAACTGACAGTAATTGTTGTCATTCTTTGATCTGCGATTATATATAATTTTATTTTATTTGTTCTAGACGATCTACATTTTTCTTGATAGATCTGTCTAGCAATTATTTTAGATTTTTGGTGTTTATATGGTAGCACGTATTTGGGTTATTTAATTGTTTCTATTAATAAACTTTCATTATTTTTGTTTTTAGTGGCTTTATCTGGCCTTTATATTAGGCTAATTGTTGGCTATCTTGAATTTTGTTGATGCTTATATTTTGCATCATGAATTAGATACACTTTACTTTGTTCTCTTTACTACTATATCTAGTTTCAATTTATACTGATCGCAGAAGATTCCCCTGTAGTTGTATTGTATTGACACTTTGTATTACATTTTATTTCTGACATGTAGGAATCATTACATTCAACGAATTGTCAGCTTTACCTAGGGGGATCCTATGTATTGTATCTAATCTTTGACTCATACATACTATTATCCATCTACTTATATCGCTATATGCGATGTGTATAAACTCTTTCTATTATTTTATTGATTTATGTCTATCTCTATCTTTCTTTTCTATTTTTCATTCCTTTGTGTGCGCTTTGCTTTGACTGCCGTGATTGACTTTTGTTTAGTCAGGCAGCCATTGCTGGGGTTTCTTTCAGATTGATGTTTCCTATTTATTAATAAAGTATCTTCTAGATTTTTAACTATTTGTGTGTACCCGATATTGGCAGTAGGAACAAACTCTTCTTTCTCTTTTTTTGTTCTGCATTTTTTGAGGGTTAACCCCTATTCTGTTCCTATAGACTCTAGGACATTGACGTTTTGGCCAATTTTCATTATTTATTAAATATATTTTAATATCAAAATAGATAGAATAAAATTTCATATAGATATAATTTTTTAATTTTTTTAAATTATTTTTTATTTTTTTATTTAATTTAATCTACTTATTATTTGTATTTTATAATAATAATATATATATATATATATACATATATAAATATACAATATATATAGTTATTATATATATTATATATGTGTGTAATTTAATTATAAGTGTATTTATATATTAATATATGTACATAGTAATATAAAAATACACTTAGTATGACATTATATATATGATATATAGACATATATTATATAGATATAATATGTCTATATATCATATATATATATATATACACATATATAATTTTTTTTATTAACATTAACTTAAAATTTTTTTTTTTTTAAGGATTTTACTCTAGCAAGGAGACTGCCTGTCAGCACAGACAGTCCCCCTGCAGGCAGACACATGGACACCTATTGTGACCATGTGACTGCTCTGTTGAGAGATCACATGGCCACAGGGGTCCTAATCCGCCAAGGGGAGACTGTCTGGGCTGCAGGCAGTCTCCCCACACCAGGAGCACCGCCGATCGCCGCTGGGGGAACGACGGCGATTGGGTAAGTACATAAGACCGTTAGGATGGTTCAGGACCGTCCCCGATCGACAATGGAAAAATGCCAATGACGGTCCTAAACCGTCCTTGGTCGTTAAGAGGTTAATATTATTGACAATTAAAAACCCTTGGTGACATGAGAGTTAACCATATGTTGTGTGACCAGCACTTGCTAGCCAGTCATCACAGGAAAATTTACCCCTTGAAAGAGGTGAGA